CACACACACACACACACACACACACACACACACACACACACACACACACACATACACATACACATTTTATTAGTCAGGGAAACCTGTTCAGGCTAATATTAGATTAGGAGAGCAGAGAAAGGTCATCCGTCTTTTGCGTCTTCATTTGCTAAAACCAAGAAGTGGCCCTCCATACAAACAGCCTCACTCTGTTTCTCTTCTGTTTACAGACCGAGGACGAGACATGCAGAGGTAAGACATTCATACATTTATTTTGATGTATTTGTGTGCGTGTCACAGAACCAGAGAGCGCTTCAAGTGACTTCCTGACTTATCTATCTCCAAGTATTCCTGCTGTAGTGATTTTTATTCATATCCCACATGTCTGCACAGTGTTGTAACTTGTACAGTGCTCTTCATGTAAATGTAAAGTTTTGTACTGAAGCTTTACAGATATATGTTTGGGAATGTACCTACAGGGTGCGGTTCTGGATGTTTTGAGACCTAAATCTGAAGCAGGGGATTTACAGCCTTCATGTACCTCAAGTGAGTTAAAACACATCAGTAGTAGTGTGCTTTTTATTTGTCATTATCAGAATAAAGTGTACAAAACCTTTGTGGATGAGCAGCTCTGAAAAGTGCTGCACGATATTGGAAAAAAATGACTTTATGATTTTTTTCTAATCCCGCGAAATGAAAAAATACAAAAGTTTTCAACAGATGAGTTGAATCTGTTGAAAACTTTTTCAGGTGTAAGACAGGTGCAGGTTTGTCGACTTGTTGATGACAAACCTGTGCCTGTCTTACCCGTTTTTTGTTACAAATGTGTTTTTTTGTATTTGAGAGTTTTGTGCTGGGATCCGTGTACGTTTCCTTCTATCACTTGCAAACATGTTGCCTCTGTCTAATATTGTATTTTATCTCTTATCTTCTCCTTCTTTCGTCTTTGTTCTTTGTGAATTTGCTCATCTTCCTCGTTTTCGTCAAGATGCTCCTTGTCTTCCTCCACAGCTCGTGGATTCACCGACACTTCTCCATAAAACGTTGCCATTGTTGTCGCAGAAGTTTCACAACCAAATTAAAGTTTTAGCTTTTTTTGACTTGAAATCGCCCACCTCTGCTGGCAGAAGCAACTTGTCAAAATAAAAGTTGTAGCACGTGATCGTTTAGTTCAATGACGTCTGGTTTAGTGGTTTAGTCCCTAGATAAGACATTGATTTAGTTTGGCTCCTACATCGCAGAACGTTCATTGTGATGACGATGGTCAAACGATATATCGTGCTGCTCTTATTTTGATAAGACTGTGCTCAAAGTTCATATTTTAAGAGCTTTCTTTAAACTCTGTATCACAGAAATCAGTGAATATTATTAAAGCTGACGTTCGTAAATTTGGTGTATGTAAACAAACTCTTGTTCTGTTTTTTTTAATCCAGCCCCTCAGGTTGAAGGAGGGATGGAGCAGAGAGCTGAAGACTCCTCTTCTTCTGTCAGACCCTCCAGTAATTTTCTTGAAAAGCTCAACCCCCCTGAAAAAGACAGGGAAGACCCCAGTGAAGAATTAGAGGGGAGGGGCATTCTCCATGAATCTAAGCTGATGGAAAAACAATCCCATGGCTCGGAGGTGAAAGGAGGGGCAGAATGCACCATTTCCACTATGGGAAACGGGCTGCACCCCTCTTCAGCTGCAGACATGGATCGGTCCAGCTCTGCAGAGCAGCAGGGAGAAGATTTAGGTCCTGCACAGGAAAGGGAGGCAAAGAGGGAAGAAGTAGAGAGAGACACAGAGGAGGCAAAGGAGGCTTTGGCCATGGAAGACGAGGGAGCGGACGATGAAGAGGAGGAGGTGGAAGAAGTCTCAGTGGAGACTCTGAACAGTGGGGCAGAGTTGGAGGAAGAGCAGCTGCAGACAGATGGTTTAATTCAGGAGAAACTACATGATGAGAGCCAGCAGTGCCCAAACACCCAGGTATCTATTCAACCCATGGACTGTATCTAAATTTAAAAACAAATCAAAATGTACTGCCTCCTTTTATTTCTGATCCAAGCTGTGATTACAGATCTGTATGAGATTTATTAAAGGGATCCACGATTAGTTGTAACATTAAACTTTATTTGATAAACATATATTTTAACTGTAAAATAAAGACTGTAAAAATACTGTAGGATGTTTAGTTTTTATCATTTTTATGCTAAAAGTTTAAAAACATATTACACGGATGGAGGCCATTTTGTTTACACACAAAGCATTCTGGGTAAATGATGACGTGGATAGGTCCTTGGTGTGAGGCTGCTAGCGAGCTATATCCACCCTGAAGGTTAATGTTGGACAATATCTGATGATCGACTCTTTTAAATGAAACCAGAGAGCGTTGACAGAG